AAAACCGAGAAGGCGATGAAGTTGTTTGAAGAGATGTTGGAAGCTGGAGTTCAGGTTAATGTGATGGGGTGCACTTGCTTGGTACAATGCTTAGGGAAAGCGAAAAGGATAGATGATTTGGTGAATGTGTTTGATCTGTCGATTCAAAGGGGAGTGAAGCCTGATGATAGGCTCTGTGGGTGTCTTCTCTCTGTTATGGCCTTGTGTGAGAGTAGTGAAGATGCTGAAAAGGTTATGGCTTGTTTGGAGAGAGCTAATGAGAAGCTGGTGAAGTTTGTGAAGCTGATCGTAGATGAGAAAACCGAATTCGAGACTGTAAAAGAAGAGTTCAAGATAGTGATTAACAATACTCAAGTAGAGGCAAGAAGACCCTTCTGCAACTGCTTGATAGACATATGCAGAGGCAAGAACCGGCACGAGAGAGCTCACGAGCTTTTTTATTTAGGAACACTGTTCGGTCTGTACCCGGGATTACACAACAAGACCATAAAGGAATGGAGCTTAGACGTGAGGTCGTTATCTGTTGGTGCAGCTGAGACCGCTCTCGAAGAATGGATGAGAACACTTGCCAACATCGTTAGACGCCAAGAGGATCTTCCCGAGCTGTTCTTGGCGCAAACTGGTACAGGAACTCACAGATTCTCACAGGGATTAGCGAACTCTTTTGCCTCGCATTTGCAACAACTCGCTGCACCTTTCAGACAGAGCGATAAGGCGGGTGTCTTTGTGGCTACGAAGGAGGATTTGGTGTCATGGTTGGAATCAAAGTTTCCACCTTTAGTTGCTTCTCAAGTTTGATACGTTTATCCACAAACTATAAAAGCAACATTATTTTTCCCCAGTAAAGGTATTTGTAACTGTAATAGCTTATTGAAATCTTCTGATAAAGTTTCAATCTTTTTGTATCACAAAGAAGAAGAAGAAATCATATTAGTTATTTGCATTCTTGTTCTCTCTTTCTCTTGAATAATTTGAACTTTCCTTAATTCATGCAAAAAAGCTCTCTGTTTCACAAAAGTAAACGAACACACCTCTCCATCTCTCAGCTCTCTCTTAACATGCATACACAAACATTTCAATTACTGTTTTGAAAAGACCCATAAATATCTTGGGGCTTCTTCTTATAGCTTTAGCAGCGCCAGCTATTCTGTCGCTTGGCATCATACGCTGCGCCATCGTTGAGCATATCTTGAGCATCACTCTCCATTCCAAGCTTCGAGAGTGCTAAAGCCTGCAAGTAAAAAGCCGTTGGCCATTCCGGTATGCACACCTGAGCCTGCATTGCATCTCTCAGTGCAAGCTCCTGTTGGTCTGTCATTAGGTAGGAGAAAGCCCTTCTAGCGAAAACTGTTGCAGAAGGAACCGGCATCATCCCCACCAACTAAGACACAACCGATAACAGAGTTAGAGATTCTTGTAAGAACACCAAGAGTTGTGTATTTTTTTTGTTTTCCTTCTCACCTTTGAGTAGTATTCAATTGAGTTCTTGAAATCCTTGTCTCGGAAAGCAATGTCACCGAACTTTTTCGTGTTGAGCATCTCCTGCACTTGTTGTGTCCATTCTTGAAATGAAAGCTCATTCTCTGCACCTTCTTCGTCTCTGTAACCGGTTTTAAGCAAGATGTCGTGTACTGTCGCGAGGTCCATCTTTGAACAAGCCTTTCCGAGAGGAGAAAGCATCGTTGGTAATATCACTGTGTTCTTCGGCAAGCCCATTAAGACATGAGATGCAACCTGAAGCAACAAAAGCGAAACCAAGATAAACAATTTGGATATGTGATTCAAGCAATATATTTGTCAATTTCAAGATATATTCTTTTAAACCTCTTCTTTCTTTTGCAGTGGTGCCACTTCAGAGAGAAGAAACTTGGTGTCTGGTCGTTCTTTAGCCTCCGATTGAAGGCATTTCGAAGCAAGATCAACTAGTTTAGTCGCATCATCACTCGCATATTGCCCTTCGAGAGATGAATCCATCAATAGCAACGCGTTCTTCCCCCTTATTATATCAAGAGCCTGAATATGAACATCAACAACCAATTCAGATAAGTAAACCACATGGAAAATGCTCATAAGAGTGAGGAGTAAACTATAAAATTAGAGGCACATACATGGGTAGGTGGAATGTGTTTGCCGCTTAAAAGATCTAAAAGAATAGTTCCATAACTGAAGATAACACTCTCAGGAATGACTCTGCCTGCAAAAAAAAAGCAGGAACCTTTTAATCTTCACATCCAGATTTGGTTTGTCTTAATAGTTAGGATTCATAAAGATCAAGAACGTTACCTGTCCGCAAAAACTCAGGTGGAGTGTAAGCTAAGTTGGTACTATAGCTTTTACCATCTCTACTGTTCTTCATAAGACCAAAAGTGGATAGACGAGGATCACCTTCCTCGTCGAAGAGGATTCTGTATGCATTGAGGTCATGATAGATCTTTCGGTTCTCGCTGTTGCAGTAATCAAGTGCTTGTGCAATGTAGTCTGCGATTCGAACACGCATTTCCCATGGAAGTGGCTGCTTTTCCCCTGCAAACAAACACAGAAACAAGAGAGTAAAGTATCTAAAGAAGTATGTAAAGGAAGATTATAACATAGAGAAAGATAAAGACTATTACAGTGAAAGAGATGCTTTGAGAGAGTATCATTAGGCATATACTCTGCCACCAACAATCTCTCGTCTCCTTCAGCGCAACAACCAATCAAACTGACTAATCTCTTGTTTCTAAGCTTCCCAACACCAGTTGCTTCCACCTGATTTCACAAGTCAATCAAGGTCAACACAAGAACAGTGTTCCCAATTTTGCTTAAGTAAGCTACATGCAACAATTCTATGCTAAATTAACTAAGAAAAAAAGAGAAGAAAGAAACAAAAGAGTAATCCAATATAAGCAAAGTCGGATCCTAGGTTTTAAAAGCAGCTTTACAACCAAAAGTGTCCAACTTTTCTCAGTCTTCAACTGCAAACTGACACAGGGAATCATATTCTCTTATAAAAATGATGTCTTTATCACTTTCTGTAACTAATACTAACCATTCCTCTCACTAATCATCAGATAGTCTATAAGATTCTAAATCAAGGGTCAATGAATAGATAAACAAGTTACAAAACAACAAGTCCTGCATCGACGTTTCTCAGATTTCTTACCACAAACTGTTGAGCATCAGGCCAAGACTGCCTAGAGAATCGCTTGATGGCTACGAGATGATTCCCTTCGAGCTTCCCTCTGTAGACCACATTGGGAGCTTTCTCTCCACCTTCAGAGACAATGCAGATAGGGCTAAACCCATTTGTTGCTTTCCTCAGCTCATTTAGATCAAATTCTTTGAAATTTTGGTTCTCCTGATCCACTTGGTCCCCATTTACTGTTAACACACACCAAAAACACATGGACGAAAAAGGTAATTAATCAAAACAAGAGTATTAATTCCAAAAAAGGTAGAGACTTTCCAACTTTTGTGTCTGCTTAAAGCCTTAATAACCCTTGTACACACAAATTAAACCAAACCCATAAAAGGAACAGACGGGAATAAGCATACAGACAAAAACCAAATCTGCAGATTTACTTCTTAGCAAAGAAAATGTGAGGTCATAGAGATGATTATTACCTGATTCAGGTTTGTTTGGAGCTGATGGATCATCAGAAGAAGGTAGATGAGCAGTTTTGGAATGTAAGCAACCCATTTTCTCTCTTTTTGTTTTTTGTTTTTTTCTTGTCTCACATCAAAAGTTGAAACAGTTTGTTTCCCACAAAGATAAGAAATTTGGATCGGAAACAGAAATTGAAAGGATAGGTGCTTAAGTTGAGGGATTTTTTTCAGACTTGTTTCTTGGATTGAGGTAACAACAATGGTGGGATTCGATTTGGGGTATGGATATGTGCTTTGTAAGCAGTTGAGGAGGCAGTAGAATATAAATTTTCCCCGCACATTAAAAGAAATTAATGAAATTTGAAAACTAAAAAAGAAAAATGAGTAGAGAGAGAGAGAGAGAGAGAAAGATCTGAAAGTTAGCTTCAAAAGCTGCAGAGTTGAAAAAATAGAGGTAACAAGAAATAAGTCATGTGAAGCAAAGATCTAATTTTTTTCTGCTCTGTAAGATTTTGCTTGCATATGCTTTTTTTCCTCGGTACTATACACAAAGTTTAAAATTTGGGTTTTACAGTTTTCTTTTTTGTTTGATGTGAATTATTGAAGTTTCTACCATCTCTATAAGTACAAAAAAGCATATGAATGAATCATTCCTAAAAAATCAGTTTAGTTTTTTTGAAATTTATTGGTGAGTCTGGGACTAAACAACCAAATTAGTACAAACGAAACGACTACATTACCTGATTTAGAAGTTTAATATTTTATATATAACTGAGTTATTACATTTATACATTCGATTAAAAAACTTAAATTACCAACAGAAATAGTGCAAATAAATAACGGCTACAACCTCTGTTGTCTTTTCTGCCTAACTATGTGGAAAATCATAATAATTTGATTGATTTTTTATCAATAAGATACGTGAGATAAAATGTCTAAGACGATTTGGTTTGTGTCACTCTTGTTAAATTTTATTTTTGAAATAATGTGTTTTTGCTTTTATAAGAAAGAGAATAGGTCACATCACATGACAAGTCTATGATGGGGCACGTGCCTCTACCTTCTTGGGTTCTGAATTTTACCGAAGATGGAAAGGAGCTATTTCGCTTTACCTCTTTTGAGTTAATTTTATTTCTTGATTCTCTCTTTTGTATTTGTTTTTTATAAGTGTAAGATAATCGGTGTTTTATTTTAGTATATACTTCTACAATTTGTAACTCTCCAAATAAATAAGTACCGTTACAAAATGATTCTTTTCACACAAAAAGTCTTCGGCATCAATTAAAAGTACACTTAAATAAACCCATTCACCGACATATATAAATAACAATATAGATACGAGATTTTTATTATAATAAACAGATATTTGAATGATATTTGTATCTTATATGTCTGTATCCAAATTTTATAATGTCCTGAATAATTTATTACTCTAATGTGGACCATAAACAAAAAGAATCTTGGACCAAATCATACATTAATCATATGAGAATTTCTCCATGAAAAGGAAAAAAAACAAGGCAAATAACTTTTGGCTCATATTATTCTGCATTCTAATTCAAACCTCTCTCATTCTGTGTAGTTCTTTAACGAGCTTCAAGTTCAATTCAACAGAAGACTCGATGAAATCAGATTGGTGGCTACAGTAAAATTCACAAATCCAAACAAGACTCCCACAAAGTATTCACTTTCAACACAACCTAAGTCACTACTCTTCTTCATCTATTACAACTTCAATCATCATCATGAACAGAAGCAACAAAAAAAAAAAATCGACAATGCTTCCCTGAGTAATCACAACAAGTTTCTAAATTCCTCTTTCGTAAAATGTACTACGAACTTGTCTCTGCAACAAAACCAGATAAAGATAAAACTTAAAACAATGTCTATTTGGCTCAATAGAAAAATCTTTCCAGATTCTTACCAGCAATTCCTCGGTTGTAATTTTCTTGCATGGTTCTTGAATAATGAACTTGTCTAAATTTCTTCTGCATGTGTCCTCGCTTCTTCAACTTTGATAAACTAAGTGAGCCTTCAACTTAATCATTGATGAGGAAAACAACTTCAGAGGATTTTAAAATACAGAACTCAACAAGTGAAAGAAGGTAAAGAACTACTTCGCTTTCATACCTTGCCATTCCCATACAACCTTCTGTTCACCTTTGATAATTTTCGGATATCGATCTATACGTGAATCCTCCTGTATCAACTTCTCGACCTATAGATTAACCAGGAATACAAAGAACCATCTCAGGACTCAAGACAAAAAAAGAAGAACAAGCGATAGGGTTGAATAAGGAGAATCCGTTCACAAACATGAGTTCTGTCGCAGATGGTTAGAGAAAAAAAAACAGAGTTACGAGTTGATAGGCAGGACAAAGAAAAAGCTTACCATACTCCATAACAGAGGATCTCTTCTTTCTCTAGGCAAAAGCAGATGATCACGTAACCGTGATGCGATAACCCAAGGCTCGCAGTTATTACTATTCTCTGCAGAATTTGATGTCATTGCATTCTCTTCCAGGAAGTCACAAACCTAATGAATCAATTTCAAAACAAATGCTCGTTTCATATTCAGACACAAAGACAAATGATAATCGAACAATCGAGAATCGAGATGCTGTATTGGTACTTTGGTAGAGGTGTACCTGGTCGTATAGTTCTTCAACTCTATTTGAAAATTGTCGCTTCCGCTGAATTTTCCTACGCAATACTGCGAAGGCCACAAGCTGTACATCTCAACACTGTAAACAAGCTTGAAGATGTTGATCAAGTAAACTAAACCACTTAAAGACTGGCTTTTTTTTCTTTTCTAATAGTAGCATACCATTACACATGAGGACGAGATGATGAAGATGTGCTGCAAGAGCCATTGATTTATGCGACAAGTCATGGGTTTGTAACTTGCCATTAGCAATTCAGGGCACTTCAACTCATTGATCCTTCACAAGATCAAAGTAAAGATCTTTAGTTAATGAAACAGCTTCAAGAGTTAGTCCTAACGAGTGATGAAGATACTAACCCATTAGAATTAGTCCTTTTCTCTAGCAAATCCGCTACAGCTCCTCCAGCTTTTGCTTTCACAAAATTGTAAGCAGCCTCGTCTAAGTTTTTAACGAAACCGTTGATACGTAAATCTTTCCAAACATCATTCTCTGAAACCTAGAAGATAGATGGAATATAGCTCAGTGAAATGCTCACTATTACCACAAATTGAACACACAAGTACATAAAAAAAAAAGAAAAGATAAATCATCATACCCAAGTTTCTCCAGTACCATAGCATTCATTATGAGCATATGCCTCACAAACTTTTCTCTCGAAATGCCCAACCTGATCAACAACACAACCATGTGCAAAAATGTTTAAACTTTAAATTAAATAATCAACAACACGAAAATCCAAAATTCGATTATATCTAAGAAGTATAATTCAATACCAATTTCTTGGTTGATTCATTGATTTCTCCATCTTCTATGCATAAATTTCCTTGCTTTCTGTATCCATGGTTACATTGCAACTTCCCTTGGTAGCATTCTCCATTTATTGGACAGGGTTCGCATAAATCTGAGGCAGCGAAACTCAGTTTTATCCAGGGAATTACACGGTTAAACCATGAAAAAAAAGGAATTATTTATGAATTTCGAGCTTACCTAAATCAGAGTCGATGGAATCTAAGTTACTGTCGCAGAAAGATTTAGGGTTTGAGCCCAGATGGTTAGCGAGGAAACTGCAGCCAAAAGCTACTGCACAAGCGACAAGCAACACCGTCAGGAGTGTCACAAACTCTTCCCTGGAAGGGAAGAAGCTTCCCGATGGCTCGGGTAGTGATCTCATCGGGGAAGGAGAAGATGACTTAGGGTTCCGTTTTGGGGGTTTGGTCTCCGATTTGGGTCGTTTCCTTGGTATCGAATCTATCTGAGGGCTTCAGGACAAGAAATTGAAAATGAAAAATAATCGTCGCTAGCCAGAAGAAAAAGTAAATTAGTGTCCCTCCAAAAGAAAATATTGGAGGCTGGATTAATGGGCTTTCTGCTTGACCCGTGTGAAGCCGAGATATTGACGGGCTTAATACGCGTCAGGCAGAAAGCCCATTCATATTATTATTTAATTTTTCACCTACTATTTTTCATCATTCATATTATTTATTTAATTTTCAGTTTTTACATTTTTATATTTTTAAAAAATAATTCTCATATATAAAAAATAACATATTAAAATTAATTACAAAAAACATGTTTAATCTACTAAAACTAGTTTTCAACTTTTTATAAATATTTTATTTAATTCAGTTTGCCACATCAATAAATTTTCACTTTTTTCTATTGTTTTATTAATTATTTGCTAATCAAAATTTTAATTGTATTTAATAAATAATGTTTCTAAGGGTACATTTAAAAATAAAATTAAGGGCAAATTTTTCTTTGACTTCTCTATATCCTTTTTAGTATTTTTTGTGTTTGATTTTTATCATAATTAGTTACAAATAAAAGAGTGTTTAAGTTGAATCTACATTTCTCTATATCTTTTTTTAGTATTTTTTGTGTTTGATATTTATTATATTTAGTTACAAATAAAATAGCATTTAAGTTGAATCTACATTTAATATAACTTTTTGCAAACAAAATTACAAAATTTATGCATTATAGACAATAATTTTTTTTATAAATTAATAATGTTACAATTATAAAAGTTTATAAAAAACTATTAATTAATAGTGCTTATCAATTTATAAATATATTATTTGGTTGATAAATTAATTTTAAAATTGATAAAAATATTAATTTATAAAAATATTAATAAATCCAATATTAATTTATAGAAATTGAACTGTGACAGTTTTTTGATTATACTAAAGAAAAAGATTGTTTTTTCTCTTAATGTTAATTTTTATTCGAAAAAACATATATATATATATATACTATAATTTTTGTTTTGACGTGGTTTTAAGAGATTACTAGGTGTTTTTCCGCACCTTATGCGAAGTTCGATTAATTTTTTGAAAAATTAATAATATTAGTTTATTTATTGATAAAAATCAGATTTTATAATTATTCGAAATCAAAATTAATATATCTGAAAACTATAATTTTCATGAGTATAATTTTTTGTATGATAAAGCAAAATATTATCAATATCTTATTTTTTAATATCTTTTATATTATTCGATAAAAAATTATATGTATCTTTAGTTGTCTTGTTGCATCAAACAAAACTCTCAATAAAACCGTAATTTTGAATTTTTCACGATTGATTTTTTGAAAAAAAATTTGAAATCTAAAAAGAAAGTTGTAGAGAGAGACGTACAACCGTTGATGAATCTAAATTGTTTTGAAAACTTTGTTTTAATATATATAGAGTTTCAAAAAGGTTTAAAAGATTTATGATTTTACTTGTGGCCGTATAAATCAATATGAATATATAATTAAACTGAAAATTTAAGCTAGTTAACTTTTTTTTAATAAACTGAATATTTTTATGATATAAACTCGAATTTAGAAATTTAGATTAGAAAAACAAAAAATAATTAAAAATTAGATTATAATAATTTGTTAATATTATTAAGAGTAAATAAAATATTTTCATATAAGAGGTAAATAGTAATCAACCATCATAATTCTCAACAAAAGTCCAACTTGCTTTTGAATTAATAATATGATATAATGAGTAAATTTAAGTGTTTCCTATGTTTAGTAGAAGATTAAAAGGTAACTATACGCGTTTTTTTATCCAGCCTTTAAAAGCCCACTTCGAGTAAAAAAAAAAGTAGAGAAAGGTTCGTCGCCGTTTTTTTTTGGTTCTTCATCACTCTGCTCAACGCCGAGTGCACTACTCAGAATCGCTCGTTATTTTTATAAATTCTTCCTAAGGTAAGCTTCTTCGATTTTTATTCTCAAATCGTTCTTCTTTCGCATTCTTTCTATGAATTCGTTCTAAACCTAACGTTTCCTCTTTTTCCAAAGTTTTTGTCGATCGCTAAATGTATCGGTATTGATAAACCCTAAATATTCCCGTTCTATTGTGAAGATTTTAACCTTAATCAATCCAAATTCAGTCGGAATTTTGTTGGGTATTTGATTGTTATTTCGATTGGATCGTTTTGACGTACAAACCCTAATTTTGGGTTTTTGTGTAGTCGGCGCAGATGAACCCTAATTTCAGGGGATCTAATCTGAAACTTTTCTTTCTTCATGTGTTTCAGGCGTTTCCAAACCCGGAAGAATGGTTGCAGTAAAGAAACTGAGGATAAAGTTTGGCCCTGAAGAATCTGTCAAAACTTTCCAAAAGTTTCCTGATATTAACAACTGCAGCAACGCGAAGAAAGTTGAGAAACCAATAAGCGAAGATGTAACTAAAGCCGCGAATCAATCGAGGAAGCGTGGACCTGACGAGCTAGAGGAGGTTCAGGCGAGTAAGAAGCAAAAGCTTGACCGTGATCTGGCTAGCCAGTGCCTTAAGCTGCTAAGATTATTGAGCGATCACGAGTTTGGATGGCTGTTTTGTGAGCCTGTGGATCCTGTTAAGCTGAGGATTCCTGACTACTTCTCTGTCATATCGAAGCCGATGGATCTAGGCACAATCAAATCCAGGCTTTTGAAGAACGTGTACGGGAGTGCAGATGAGTTTGCAGCAGATGTTCGGTTAACCTTTTCCAACGCGATGCTGTATAATCCTCCTGGAAATTCGGTTCACACGGTGTCAAAGGAGATTAAGGAGATGTTTGAGGTGAGATGGGAATCGCTCATGAGGCAGAAAGTTTCGGGATTGTGCAGGAGTGAAGTCAGAGAAGGTTCTAAGAGACGACCAGTTGAAGTCGATTGTATAAGACAGAGCAGCACTGAAACATCAGCAGCCTCTGGGAGATTCTCTGTGGAATTGTCAAAGCCGGTGAAAGAGAAGTCCGAAAAGGGTTCTCTTTTGTTGAAGCCAGTGAAAGGGCAGAGCAAAAAGGATACTCCTGTTGTCACACCGAAAGCTTTACCAATGAAGGTAGGAGTTATGATTAAAAAAAATCCTAGACTTTTGATTATTATTGTGCTTAACTTTTTACTGATATTCATTGTCGCATGTTTGATATTTTCAGTTGAGGATTAAGCAACTCGGGCAGGGCCTTGGTATCAGTTCGACTGTGAAAACCCCAAGCAAAGGTACATAGTTGGAGAATTTACTTTGATTGTTTTATGCTTTGTTGATCCTCAGATTTGGAGCTAACCATTTTCATTGGCGTGCAGGTTCAGCTCTAACTGCAGCTTGCAAATGTGGTTCATGTGGCTTGATTACTTGTATGTGCCTCAAGTCCTGTAACTCATCTGGAAGTGAAGTTTCTTCATTAACGGTATGGGCCGGCTATTACTTGATCTGTGATGAATTGAGTTTCCTCTTGGTCTTGTCATGGACAAAAGGAATTTAAATTTCAATCCTCTTGCGGAAAAACAGGATTGTTTGGTAAAGAACACTTCAGGTTCACAGGCGAGCGAGTCAGATCCACATTCCAATGGTGAGGAATTTCTTTCCCGTTTCATTTAAGCACCTCTTGATTTTCGAAATCTGCTACTTTTGTAAACAGTATACTTATTTCTGTTTCTTTTCAGGGTCTATAAGCTCAAAGAATGAGAAGAATGGTTGTGTTAGTTCTCAGGTTGATAAACCCATAAACAATACTTTATTGAATAATGGTAAGTTATTATTCCTTTCTTAGAAATTTATCTGAGGGATTCTTGTTTTTTTGTACGATTTGGTTTCTAAACATCACTCTCTGATTGCTGCAGAGTTGAAAGCAACATTTCCCGTTATGCCTCCGTTACCACCGGAGAAGGCTCTTCGTGCTGCAATACTCAAGTCTCAGTTCGCAGAGACCATTCTGAAAGCTAAACACAGAAAAGTCCTTGACCAGGTATAACATCATTACTTTGTTGATTCCAATTACAAAAACAGACACTTCCACAACTTTTGTTTTACTGAAAGTTGCTGTCTTGTATTTTTTTTTTCTTTTCAGAGTAAGAAATCGGATCTAATTAATATACATATAGAAAAGGAACAGATGGAAAGAGCTCAGCGTGAAGGTAAACTTACATGTTTTAATGAAGTAAGAAAAGACTCAAACTTTTTGATTTTTGTCGTCTCTTTTAACATATTGAAAAACAATGCAGAGAAAGCTAGAATTGAAGCCGAGATGAGAGCCGCTAAGATTGCTATAAGATTGCAGGCAGAAACCGAGTTGAAACAGAGACGTGAGAGACAACGGCTCGAACTAGAAAAGGTACTTCTTCCTTAAAACTGTTTCAACAGATTGGAGAAACCAAGATTCTGATATCGGTAAATGTTTACAGATGAAAATGACATCCGACGAAGAGAATAACTTCTCGAGTTTGAAGGAGGATTTTGTTAAACTATGTGGTACTTCTGATATGACAAGAACTTGGTTGCATGAGTTGGGTCTGTTTTTAAAAAAGGATGATTGTGTGGAAGACATGGAAGTTCCTGATACTACGAGAGTCGACGATCTTGAGGAGGGAGAGATCTTGTAGAGTCTCTTAATAGAAAAACCTCTTGTGATGTAATTTTTGACCGGAACAGATGTTGTATTTTATGATGACCTTAATTTTGTTAATATATGAAATCAAATGTTCGTTTCCTCGTACGTACTTTTCTTGTTTGTAAACCAAGAAGCACATAAACAAATATTTTTTTGAAATATTTAGTAAGAGAAGAAAATTTTGAAGTTTATGATCACGTCTTTTCTTAATCAACTTCTCCAAACCAAAATCTTTTCATTTATAAAAATTTACAAAACATACCAAAGCGGATAATGAAATAGTTCAGCTTTTGGTCGCTGTAATGTTATTAGTAATGACTTTATTACATCCATTGATAGAAACAGACGAGAGACTATAAAGAGTGATCACCAATGGGTTTAATAGCGGCAAATCGGCCGAGGCCATGTAAGTTTTGAGGATCTTCACCAATCGATACCAAGGTTCTTGGAGAGGAAGAGGTTGTCAAGATACGTGGTTACTATTGCTGATGCTGTAACATAGCTTTGACTATGTATCTTAACCGTTTCCTCTGTACAGATTCAGAAAAAATTGAAACAATTTATAGTCAGGTATTTCGTGGCCATTGAAAAATATGGAAGACTAGAGAACGAGTCCCACCATCTACGACAATCATTGTGATTGGAGATGCCTTGAGTGACAAGATTACTTTGCTTTTATAGCTCTCAGGGTCAGGGATATTGTGGTTTCGGTCCATATTCATTGAACAAGTTCATTACTAAAATATAAAAACTATCAAGTACTAACCAGTTTCATTGAACATTTTAAATAGTAATCTCTTGGAGAGAAGAGACTCCATCCCTGTAGCCGCAGCTTGCTGAATAGCAAACCCATGGTGGGGAGCAAACACTTTATTGTAAGCCGTGAATGCTGCATCCTTTAGGGAGTTATCAGATCTACGGATCATATTAAAACCACATAAAATCAGTGTCCAAACTAGCGGTTGGGTTAAAAAACCCGGATCCGATCAGCAAAAATCTAGAAACCTTACATGCTCTATTGGTGGAGATACTTTTCCACATTTCTAAAGGTAAAAACTATATAAATTAATAATGTTAGAATTTTGATATTTTATTAATTTATAGAATTATTAGTTTATCAATTTTATATAAAATAACTTTTTATTAATAATTAATTAAAAAAATATTATTTTTCAAAATTATAATATTTTTTTTATTATTATAAAATTAGAGATAAATAATAAAATAGTTTAATTTTAATATAAAAAACAGCAATATACTCATATTTTATTAGATTATCATAATTATATATTTATATAAAATTATTTTATATAATATTTATTAATTTATGATTCTAATGGGACTATATTTTATATAAGTTTTCAAAAAAATTTATTATTTTATTAATTTATCGATTTATATTAAAATTTGAACCAGTCCAATTCGGAACCGAATAAAATTATTGATTTATCGAGTTTATTAATTTATGAAATATTAATTTATAGAGTTTCTACTGTATATAAGATTAATATAACTTATTTTTTAATTAAAATTTAAAATATTAAAGGAAAGAGAAGTAAGAACTAGTTACTGTCTCTATTTTATTTTAAGTATCATTTTATGTTTTTGTGTCAAAAAAGTTTCGTTTACAATATACTTCAACCTTTGTAATATAATTCCAAATATAACCTCAATTAAAATAACACAATATCTAACAATTAAACAAACTAAATATAATTTGTAAAGTTAAAATAGTCTATTTATTAAAATGTTTAACCTACTGTATGTGTGCAACCAAATAAAACAACATTTAAGTAAAAACAGAGAGAATATTATTTAACACCTGTAAAAAATGTTTTTAAAAGTTTTCAGGTTTCTCTCTCTTCCTTTAATTTGTTTATTTATTCGTGAGATACTCTCTTAATATATACCCTATAGAGGTGTTTTTATCAAACTGAATTTTATTGTTATTGTATTTTTTTAAGATGTTTTTATAAGACCAACTTTGACAAAAAAATCAAAATAAGATCAACTTTGATAAAAAAAAAATCAAAAAGATCAACTATGGTAGATGTTTTCATAACTAAATTTCTATATATTTTTTAAAAAAATATTGGGGAAAAAATTCAAATAAGACCAACTTTGACAAAACAAAAATTAAAATAAGACCAACTTTGACAAAAAATAAAAAAAGATCAACTTTGACTCAAAAAAAAATCAACTATTCTAGATGTTTTAATAACTAAATTTCGTTTTTTTTGTTGGAAAAAAATTCAATATAAGACCAACTTTGACAAAAAAAAAAAAAGATAAACTATTCTAGATGTTTTCATAACTAATAGACAAAAAAAGAGCTAATAGAAAATTATGCTAAAAAGACAAAAAAGAAAAATCAAAATCCCTTTTATTAAAAAATCCCAAGTTTTTATACCAAGTGATGACAGCAGTTCAAGGGTCATCGCCTATTAAGTAATCGATTACTATACGGAATTTAAAAGGTTTTTTTGCAGATTCTGAAAATAAGTTTAGGTTTCCGGTTTACTCAACAAAATTAAATAAAAGAAGTTGCAATGGATGTCGCAAAACTCACATATATATGAGTCTCTCGAAAAATACTTACTCGGTGTCTAGTAGCTCTTCGCACAGAACTCTGATCATTTCAAGACCACGCTTTACCCTCAAAAGGTTTCTTGTATGACTACCAACTTTCCTTACACAGTTTGCCTCAATGTCTTTGTCAACCATTTCCTCTATTGTCGATACTGAGCTCGACACCTCGGCAAGATCGTTCACCTAAGAAAAATGTTTGAATCAATTCATTATACTATATTTTTAAGCTTAAAAATTAAGATAGATCTCATCTTCAATCCTGTTTTTTAGCATGTGCAACTAGAGCATTAATTTTGTATTCGATTTGGACATAAATTAGGGCTTATATTTAAAACAAAAAAAGTTCCAAACACATCAAATATATCTCTCCATTAAAAATACTTCGATCACAGGGCTTACTAATAGTTTGAGATGACCTGAAATTCGGAGAAACACAAATGAAGTGTTTGTAGAAAAACGTACGAAAATAATCTAACGTAACATTTTACATTTCTATACAAAACCTCAAACCATATATAATGGCAATGTCTTATATAGTTTTCATAATATAACTATTCTAGGTAAGGAAGCATACCTTGGCCACATAATCTATTTCGGCAAACCTTGGAAACATGCCTGTTTGAAGGACCTTAAATATGAGAAAAAAACGAGAGCAAGCGTCAGAGAATTGCTTTACAGGCATCTTCAAACCCGGCGTATCCACAATGACCGCTAGTTCCTTGAACGCATCCGCATTTTCTTTGAACGCCATCACCAAATTAAACGCTCTTTTTTTTTCCTCCGATTTCAGTGTCTTATATGATATTTTGAATGATATCTCTGATTTGTTCGATAGAGAAAAGTTGGGGGGTTTTAATCTGAGTCAGTTGCCAACTTGCCCACATGCAAACAAAAAGTTGCCGACTTTGAATGAATTCATTTATTTTTCATTATTTGTTTCATGAAAATAATATTGACAAGTATACCTTATTGACGAATCTAATTAATTCACTTTCCCACCCTCAGAAAAATGTAAAACTTTATTAGAATTAAAACCTTTTACAAATTACAAAGACCCTTCAATGGGCTACAACCAGAACCAGATCATTCTTTTCTGTCACTAGACACTCTATAGTGTTTCAAATCTCAACACATTCCAACTCTAAACTAGGATTTGAGATTTGAGATTTGAACTTTAGAGTAAACTAGACAAGATTCTCTTCCGGGACCTAAAATCATCTGCCAATAAACCTAACTGCCTAGAGAGAAAAAAAGTTTTTAATAGTTTATGGCCGATGGTCGGAGGCTTTTTAGCTCCATAATTTTGGTTGGATTGTTTATTTTGTAAATTCTTCATATTACTTTTTTTGTCATATTTCTTTTTCTTTTTTTTGAATCTGAAAAAGTTTTTTTTTTAATTGATTTTTGGTTTCTTCTCCTTTTTCATCGGTGTTTTTCTTGGCTTTTTGTCGGTTGAATCAGTGTCTTTCACAACATATGTGTTTAGCTTGGTGCTGCGTTTGGATGGCTCATGTTAGTCTCTTCCACTAGAAATTATAACCAAATCTGGTTAAGATCTGGATTTGCTTTTGTCTCCTCAATATTGAATCTATGTTGTTTTTTTTTTGTCGATAAAATCGGTCACGACATTTTTAGACGATTTTAAACCACTTTAATAGAGGTTCCGTCTTACCAATTAAAAAAGCATATTTCACAATTGCCGAAGTATGCTCATTACCAAGTGAGGACAAAAAGATTTGAAAATCTGATCTTAATATTTTTTCAAATTCTTTGAATTGTTGATTGAATTTGTAAGAAATTTTATAATCATGATAGATTTTTGGCTGATCTCTCATTGTGATCAATAAAAATTATAATCAGTGTTAAAAAAAGATACTCTACTGTTTTAGGTATTCATAGTAAATAATTCATGAATTAGGTAAATAGCCTTAATTTATTACGTGAGCTCTAAAGATAATGTCGCAGTGTACTATACAAAAATGATTAAGATGAAGGTGCGGATTTTTTAGAAATAATATGGTATTTTTAGAATTATTCGATTACGAATTGCATTTGCCATTTAGTGAAACCATGCAAAAACAAAAAATCTCTTGTAATTAAACACACACAGAATAAAAATAATAAAATTTATATCGCAAATCCAATCAAATAATTCAAACCATAAAAATACACATCTTCAAATAAACAAATTGGATAAATATATATAACTTACTAAACAAAGAAATAAGAAGAAAAGAAATTCGTTTTATTTCTTTGATTTATTTTCGAACTCCGTATATTGCAGCAATATAGATAAGTTGTGTTGCCGAAAGTATTATTAGAAATGCCTCCATTGTCCTCTGCCAAAAAAATTAAAACAAATTAAATTAATTGGAGTATATTTTTGCTCACTAATTGAAGTATTTAAAGAAATATTTTGTAGCATATCTAAATAACTACTTTTTTGACAACAATATATTTAAATAACTACTATATGTTTATTTATAAACTTTTATGCTAAATTAAGATTTGCAGTACAGTAATATAATAGATTTTTCTTAGATAACCATCCTATGGAGGTTGATTTGGCGTTGATGGAGGATATGTATGGGATTGCAAGGGAAGGGAATGTACTGATGTAAGGTTTTTAATAAGTTTGAATAAAGAGTAGGAGACTCTTGTCTCCTGCACCTTACCAAAAAAATAAAATAATATAATAGATTTTACTTACCAGACGAGCATTTCTCATCCCAAGTTCAATTTCCTTGCAACCAAATCTGTACAAGAACATTCAAGAAACAACGATATTCTCATATATAAAAACTTTAAACTGGATTTCTATCTTTGGTGTGGGAAAAAGGTAAGGAATTTAGGAAATAAAATGATTGAATATTATATGAAAAGTGTTGTTTTAATTAATGTCTAGATTACCCCATGGCTAAAACTGTGAGCGACCAAGCAATGGTGGCGGCAGAGACAGCTGCCGGAAGACTGGCTGTAGTCCATGACTGGAGATGGCTGACACCAGAGATAACAGAGGCTGCTCCAGCAACTCCGGCAATTAAAGCGAACATCATAAAGAATCCGGTGGCCGCATTACCCATCGGAAAATATATTGGCGAGAAATGAGCGGGAAGGCTGTAATCCGCACCTTTAGTTTTTGAAAAAAGGTTAAGATGCTCAATTCAAACAATCATAAAAAATTAAAACGACTTCTTACATTTATTTTTAAGAATCAGTATGCATAGTCGTTTTATTGCTAAAAGGCCAGGCTGATAGTAGCAGTTGGTGAATTTCTTTTTTCTTTAAACCAATATAGTTTATCGACTTTTTTTAAAAATTTTTTTTTTTCTATATGCATTCGGAATTGGCCAAGAAAATGATGTTTTTTTTTTTTTTTTTTTTTATCAAGAATGGATCATTGACCTAACCCACAAAAATAACATTGTAACCATTGCTAATAGTTGATAACAGTGTTTTCTATTAGACTATTATATAAAGAAAAATATATACCAATAAGGAAGCCATGGTTGATAGCTTTGTTCATGGACCATGCTCCAATTCCCAGAACAATGGCGTACATGCAGAAGTTCAGGAGTAGAAGCAAAGAGGCCACGGGTTTCATTTGCTGTTCCGCCATTTTTTTCTTGTCACCGTAGACAAGACAAATCCAGAACTAGATATGTATTTTTTTCTGGAAAAAAAGATATATCGATTTGAATAAAAGATCTTAATAATTTTGGATGTGGAATGATTTAATAGCTTGGGTTTATATATAGGATTGAGAAGATGGTGCTTTTCTTGGTTAAGGCTGTTTGGTTTTTCTGGATTCTTAAAGGCAATTAAATTCTTGTTCTTGCAGGTTGTAAAGCCGAGTTGCTGTTTTTCTTACAAAGAATCCATGTTTTGCTTCATTCACAGGGCACAATTAAATATTTGAAAAATAATTAAATAAAAGCGTTTGGAAACTTAAAAAAATATTCTTTGGTTCACTTAGTTTCTTTCGCATGTTTCTTGTTTTATATGTAGCTTTTTAGACTTTCTTCTTATTGTATCATACATGGTACATAATATTAAGTTCTTAAGTACAAGTACAACTTTTTCGATCCAATTTACAGTCTATAGGAAAGAAAAAGAATAAGAATAAGAAACGTGTATGAGAAGTAACAATATGCAGAAACAAAACGTGTGTAAGCCGTTATTAGAAGAAATCAACAATGGTGGTATCGTGCAGATCAAGACAATATGATCTCATATCCAGTCGTTATCTGCACAAAAAAAGCTCAACCGATCTGCAGAAACAAAAACGAGTGGTCTATATTAAAAAAGAGCCTTTAAAATATTTATGAGAAATATTCACTTCATTCTGAAACCTTACCCGCATCCTCTTCCTGCTTCTCTTTGTATCTACATCACTATCTCCACATTCTTCGCCTTCTTCAGTCTCATGGCATCTATCATCAACCATATTGTCTGCTTCAAAAACATGTGTACAAGCATTTGGATTACCAAATCGGTTCTCTGGTGATGAAAACTCCTTTAAGAGGCTCATCACTCGTTCCTTTCCCTCCAATTCCTCACCGCTAGCTTCGACTTCATTATGAGTAGCTAGGAATGGAGTAGTGTCATCTGAGAGTCTTACACCACATCCTTTTAGTTTTAGTCGAATACTGGCGAGACGAAACTCGATCTCAACTTGATTGTAATCTTGGTTTAGAGGGAAATGACAATCAAATATAATCAGATGATTATATTTCTGATGCAACGATAAGTATCTTGGTTTAGCAGGCTCAAAGTAGTTCCCATGCTTGTCTCTAAACCGACAATGTACCTGAATGTCTATAAAGCAAAGCGGGTGGCTAGCTGTTTCTTCGGAAACCACAACACATGCCTTGAAGTCCAAGAATGATTGTTGAGAGAGAGTTGAACAACGTAGAGGGACGGTAAGGAACCTACCGGTTGATCGGTGAGTGAAGTATAGAGGCACTTCTACACCTGGCAAGATCAGATACTCGGAAGCTGATTGTTGAATAAACGCTTCTTGATTCAAATTGAAGCAGTTGGTGAAAATAATCAATGACAGGTTGGTGCGAGCATCATTGGTGTCTTGTGCTTTATCGGGCCATCTGACTTCAGCTAATTGCTCGCAGTCCGAGAAGAAAACCTCGTCAAGATTTTCGAGTTTGAAGATTCTTGGTGAGATGGATTTTAGCTGGTTGCATTCCCACATTTCAAGGGATTCGAGGCTAGAGAAGTTTTCGATCATTGGAGGAACTTCTTCAATGGCGGTTTGGTTTAGATGGAGAGTCGAGATGTTGCTTGAGATATCAGGGAAACTCGTCAACTGCGAGCATCCATTGAGATTGAGGCGATAGAGAGATTTCAGGTTGATGCCACTTGGGAGAGTCTCTAGACTTGAGCATCCCATCATTTCCAAAGTTGTGAGTTTATTGAGGTTTTGAATCGAGGAAAGAGTTAGCTCCACCAAACTCGAGCAACCATTGAGATCAAGTTTCTCGAGTTTAGTCATCATCGAAAGATCTGGGATTTCTTTCAAGTTTTCACATCTCGAAAACACCATTTTCTTGAGGCTTGTAAGAGGCTGAACATAACAAAACCAAAAACTAATTAGGTTGTCACGTGTATCATTTATTTTCCTAATAAATAAGTAAATATTAAACATTGTTTGTCATAAATTCAACTCAGTGTGAACCTCAGCTGTGGCACAACAACAATACTATAATAAATTAAGGAATAACTTGCAGTACACATAAATTTATAATTTTGAAATTGCTTAAAGTAAAAATAATTTAATTAGTTTTCTTAAAAGAGACTAATTCAACAACTTAATTAGGTGAATTAAGATTTAGAGTTTTGTAGTCTAGTTTTGGAAAAATATCATACCTGAACTCCTTCCCAAAATCTCTCACTCTTGATTTGCTCCATGTGAAGTTCAACGAGAGACTCTAGAGGCAATTTAGTGGGGAATTTTACGACAGATGTGTGGCTTAGATTGAGCTTTGAAATGTTACTTGAGATATAAGGAAAACTTTCCAATCTTGAGCATCCACTGAGATCAAGCGAACATAGAGACTCGAGGTCAATTCCGGTGGGTATGATTTGCAAATTTATGCATCCATGCATGTTCAACTCCATCAAATTATCAAGATTCCGAATAGAGGAAGGAAGCTCCATCAAACTTGAGCAACCGTTGAGTATCAACGTCTCAAGATTGGTCGCCGTTGAAAGATCTGGAATTTCTTTAAGGTTTTCAGAATTCGACAAATCCATATCTCTAAGGCATGTAAGTGGCTGAATCAAAATAGACAAAACAAAGATGACCACCAAGTTAAAGGATTGAAATAGTAATTTGGATTGAAATAAGCATCAACTAACAAGTTGAGCTAACTGCATTTTTTTATAATTTATCTAAACTTACCTCAATTCCTTCCCATAGGTTCACAAGCTTGCTGTTAGGCATTTTGAGTTCAACCAGATATTCAGGACAAAAATCAGAAGGCAGGCACTCCATTGGATATCCTGGCCAACTCAATAACTTGAGTTTATCCGGAAAATCATTGAATCTTTCGGGTACGTACCATCGAACATCTTTCTTCCGCTCCAATGATTTTTTATAGAATTTCAGAAAACGAAGATTAATCATCCCATGGAAAGCATTCTCATGTATTCTCACCTTAGTAATCTCATCTAAATCCAAAGATATACCTATAACTTTTTCAGTACCCTGAAAATTACAAAAAACATTATCTTAAAAGTTAAGGAGGAAATGATTTAAAATAACTTATATGAGAAAATAATGCAAAATCTATATTTATTGAGGAAACATTGTAAAAATTTAAATATTTTAGAAATACAAACACTATCATTCTAGCTAATTTTTTAATAAGCAGACTAAATACAGACTAGTGACAAATTACAGGTATATTAACTAGTTATACAATTAAAAGTAGATTAAATGCAAACTAACAACAGACTAAATACAAATTTACAATAAACTAATGTCAGATTGAATACACAATAGTGCTTAGTACTCTTTTTATAGATTATTTTATAAAGGAAATAAATTACCAAATAAACTATTTAAATAAATGACTCTTAAAGTTAAAAGCATGACAACTTTCAGTATTTATAGGCAGAATTATGGAAAAAAAGAAAAGAAAAAAAGAGAAGCTTACCGTGAAACCTCCAAGTACATTGCAAACATCTTTAGAATCCATCAGGAATTCTCGTTTTCCAGGTTTGTCTGACTGTGTACGAACAACCTCTTTACCCATTTCTTGTACCAAACTGTGCATCTCCACAATATTCGTATTATTCCATGATGATTTTACACTAATGAGGGACTTATCAACTAGATTGGTAAGACCTATATTAACATCTAACTCACTATCTGCTAGCATCAACTTGATGTTCTCGATTTCCACACCATTGAAGAAACACGCAATATGACGAAATATCGCTTTATCTTCTTTGCTATCTAACTCATCGTAGCTAACTCTTAGCGTTTTTACAATATCTTTGTTTGGACTTTTCCCAAGCCTGGACAACATATCCGTCCAGTACTCTTTCTTCCTCCTTTTCATAACTTTACCTAGAAGCTTAAGAGCCAAAGGAAGACCACCAGCAAACATTGCAATCCTAGAAGCAAGATCCGTGAAACTATCTGGTGGAGAGTTTTGCTCGAAAGCTGATCGACAGAACATCTCAAGAGCTTGCTTTTCAGATGGAAAACCAACAGTGTGAATGTGATCAATCCCATGAGCCTCTAGAAGATGCTTATCTTTTGTAACCACAATGATTCTACTCCCACGTCCGAACCAATCATCTCCACCCGCCAAGGCATCTAACACCACTTGATCATCTAAATCATCAATAACGATAAGAACTTTTCTATGCTTTAGCCTATCTCTCGCTGCTCCTAAATGATCTATTTTTACGTGCACACTGCCTAAAATTTCTGACAGGAACTTGTCTTGTAAACTCAACTTCATGTTATAGTCGTCAGAGTTAGCTCTTCTATAATCTTCTAGATTCTTAGATATGAACGCTCTATCTATGAAAATTCTACCTTGGAATTGACGCGAGAGTCGATTAAATAGAGCTCTTGCAATAGTCGTCTTGCCGATTCCCGAAGGACCCCATATCCCAACCATCCTCACTTCCTCAGATTCCACATTCAACAATACACTCATCTTTGAAATATGATTGTTGATGCCAACAAAGTCATCAAAATCTCTACATGGAGTTAAATTCAGTTTAACCAATATATCACTTACTATCGCTTCAATCATTTTTGCTTCATTATCCCTGATATGGACATTACATATATCATAAATATAAATATTTTAAGATACAAAAAAATAAAAGAAATAATGATAAATAGAGCAGTACCAATTCCGAGAATGATGTCCTTCAAGATTTGCTACATCGGTTAAAGCTTGCCGCCATAGTTGTATCTTATCCTCTGTTCTGTTCTTGCAAGTCTTGTCAAAAGCTTCTCCAAACTCTCCCGACTGTTTTCTGATATCAGAAGGATCCAAACCGTAGAAAACAGGTATCACGATTTGTTCCAACTCTTGTTTGCATTTCACAATCTCCAGCAACTCGTCTAGGCACCATTTAGAAGAAGCATAGTTTTTGGAGAACAGTACGATTGCAATTCTTGAATCCCTAATCGCCTGTAGAAGCTCGGGTTCAATCGAATGGCTTCTTTCGATCTCGCTGTCTTTGAAAGCAATGACCAGTTTGAGATCCAGCTCCTTAAGAAAGTGGCTAAGGAGTGTTTTGCGCACATCTATCCCTCTGAAGCTAGGGAAGACATCAAATACCCAATTGCAAGAAGAAGACATGAAAGAGAGGAAAACCAAAGACAATCCCTCAGCGAAGAAGTATGAAGAACAATGCAGAATCAGAGGAGAAACTAACAGAAACAGAGCTAGAGTGACAGATTTTTTGAATGCTTCTACGGTGACTTTTTCTTCTTCTTCTTTTAAAGCAAACAAGACTCGAAAAAAAGAGAAGGAAATACGAGGAAAGAGAAAAATATTGAGAAAATAGACGAAAGGGTCATTTGGGTTTTTCTCATTACAATTAAAAAGCTTCGTTGTCTTAGCGAGTCCCACCTTGTTTATACCCATCGTCGTGACTCTCGGACTGTGTTCACATGAGCATGAAAGCGAAACAATACGACGAGTCAACTGTCAACAGCTGAGGATGTACGTTTGTTCGGTTCACATCTACATTTATATGAATATATGCATTTATTTCTCATCTATTATGACTTATGGTTGAAGATTCTTCGTCTTACCCCGAAAGAAAGCATCATTCAAATTTATTCTTGTTCTATTTTTTTGTGTTTTAGTATGGCTCCGATTGGTAACACAATAAAAACTGTGAAATGGCAAAAAAAAATTAAGCTATAGAATGGCGAAATGCAGAATAGTAAAATAATTAATTTTGATATGATTAGATAAATTATGCGGAATGGCGGAGTGATGAAATGATAGAAAATATATAAATTTAATTTTTCATAATAATATATTATATATAATTTAATATGATAAAAATTAAAATATTAATTATTATAAAAAACATAATTTTAATTTAATTAAAAAAACAAAACTTTTATTGTAATTATTTATTTTTATTTTTATTTTTTTACTATAAAATATATAACTATATTGCAATATTTAATCTACAGATATAATATGATCATTATATAAATATATGTAGTATAAATATATTTATTTATATTTATTTAAATAATAAAATATAATTAGTTATATAATTGAATGATATAAAATATTGATTCTGCAAATAAGCTACCTGAAACACACTTTTCCACTTAATCAAAATTTATTTGTATTTTTTTGTAAGTATTTCTGCCATTCTGCAGAACTCGAGTTTTGGCGTTTTTCTGATTGGCAAAATTCTTGCGGAATTGAGTTTTCGACCATTCCACCATTCCACTATTCCACAAAGTTTACCAATCACAGTATATGTGGTACATACATCTGTTTATGCAAATAGTATTTTGTATTTAACTTTATAAATTATGGTATTTCAATAAAATTTAGTCGATATATATATATATATATATATATATATATATTTTACATATGAATTTTTTTTTTACCATCTTCAGTTTTTCATAAACTGTGTTTGCTAAATAATAGAAATGTAAATACTAAATTGAAAGATTATTATTCTTTGAGAAAAAGGAAAGAAATGACCCAAACTAATTTATAATGAGCTAATAATGTCAAATATTTAAACTATTAAAAGATAATCATTCTTAATAAATGTTCAAAAGTTACTATGATATTTATAATATATGTCATTGCATTTACTACAAAATTTTATTAATTCATTAAGAGTAATTTAGTCATATCAACAGACAATCATATTTGTGGGTTTGAAAACTAGATTTTGCAGGTTTGACAGAAACACACTAGTTTAGAAATTTGGTCGTAAAACATGATTTTACAGATTTTACAATTTTACGGAAAATATGGGTTTGTGGATTTGACTTGAAACATTATTTTCCAGATTTACAGAAACTATAGGTTTTGCTGGAAAAGATAAAAAGAAAAATTATCTAACAGCTCATTTCTATACTAATTCAAATTGCGTTGCTGTGTCAGAAGAAGGATAGCTATAATGATTCGGTAGAAATGTGGTTTTATAAATTTTATTAAAAATGCAGGTTTGCGGGTTTGATGAGAAACACAATTTTGCAGATTTGACAAACACATAATTTTAAGAATTTGGAAATAGAATACAGTTTTATGGTGTTGGGGAAAACATAAATTTTGGTTTTGTTAAAAAATATGGGTTTACAGTTTTAGAAAGAAAATACAGTTTGATGAAAAATACTATTTTTACAGCTTCCACGAGAATTTTTAATTTTGGTACTACAACATGATTTTAGTAATTTTTGATTTTGTTAAAAAATATGGGTTTACAGTTTTTTTATGGTTTTGACAAAGAAAAAACTTGATTTTATGATTTAAATTAAAATATGTTTTGAATTTTTAATTTTTGAGATTCAAATGCTGTATCAAATTTTTTTTTTCTTTTTTAGCATCTTAAATATTCAAAATTTGAGATATTATAGATTTGTATCAAGATATTTAGAAGAACAATATTTGAAAATTTACATCCAAATAAGTATATGGATGTAAAAACAAACAAAACTTAAGTAAATATTAAAATCTTAATTACAAATAAATTAAATCCCTCTTGCATTATAAGACATAATATTTTTGAAAATATTTGTTACAAAACTTAACCGAAAATCCGCTGATCAAAATATCTGTTTTTTTAGAAAATCTCGAACTATCTGATAGTGGTGAGATGGCCCAATAATTTTTTCACTATATATGAGTTCTCGTAAAATCTAGATAATACTGTAGTGAGGTCTCAAAATAAAATCTAGTTTCAGTTTTTTCTAAACTGTCATTATTTCAATTATTTTTTTAATAAGTTGAAATCTTTGTAGATTTTCATTTAAATTTATTATTTAAAAATTGAAAACTACAATAGTGAGTAAAAGATGAGATTTTTGTAAGAAATTTTTAAAAAAATCCAATAGGGTATTAACAACTGAAACTCTCAATGCAAATGCACATCATAGGGATTTGTTTGTGTGAACATTTTATACCTTTGGAAACTGTAAAAACTATTCT